GGCAGCGAGCCCCGCAGGCTCCGGCAGGAGGGGACGAGCCGCGGTCTCCGCCCGGAGGCCGAGGACGGCGGCGGCGGCGATGCGGGCTCCCCGCTGTCCGCGGAGGGGCTGCGCGGCCCCCGGCAGCAGCCACCGCCGCCGCGGGAGGCCGGGAGCAGCGGAGGGGAGAGCGGCCGGTCGTCGTCGGCGGGGGGCAGGAAGAAGACGCGGACCATCTTCTCCAAGAGCCAGGTCTACCAGCTGGAGTCCACCTTCGACGTGAAGCGCTACCTGAGCAGCGCCGAGCGGGCCGGGCTGGCGGCCGCCCTGCACCTCACCGAGACCCAGGTGAAGATCTGGTTCCAAAACCGCCGCAACAAGCTCAAGAGACAGATGTCGGCCGAACCCGAGGGCCCGGGGCCGGCACCGGCGGAGCCCCCCGGGGAACCGCCGCCCCCCGCCGCCGCTCCGGCTCTCTCCTTCCCGGCCCTTTACAAGGACAGCCCCCTGCTCAGCCGCTGCTTGCTGCCGCTGCCCTTCCCCCTGCTCTACCCGGGCAGCGCCATCCCCTACCTCTGCCTCCCCGGGCCGGGCAAACACTTCAGCCTGGTGGATGGGGACGTATAGCCTCTCCCCCCCGGCCCCCGACCTCCCTCTCGCCGGGGGCCGCCCTGACCTTATTTATGCCCCCGCCGTGTCGGTGGGGTGTCCGCCTTCGCCACAGCCGGCGGCATCCGCCCCCTGGCCCACGGAGGGGACGCCCGGGCTCCCGATTGGCCGGTGCCCGCGCGCCGCCGGGTGAGCGTGGGGGGCCCCCCCGGCCCCCCCCCCCCCCCGCCCCACGCGTGTCCGTGTCAGCTTCAAAGGGCGCTGCCAGCCTGTCCTCGCTCTTGCAGCGCTTTTTCGCTGGTCAGGACGGAGGAGGTAACACGGAGCCACCAAAGAAACCGGGATGTCTTCTGCCTCCCTCCTTCCCAAATTATCCCCTGCCTGTATTCCAGGGGAGCCGATGCTCTGCCTCAGCCCACGGGGGCTGTGTCCCCGCGTCTGCCCCAGCGCCGTCACCATCGCTGTGCCGTGAACAGAGTCACTTTTAACACAGTTTGTTAAAAACGAAGGCCGAGATGTGCTCCTATGTCTCAGTCTTCACCTCTGATACCCTTCAGATTAACTTCTCCCCATCTTTGACATTCTCAAAATGTAGACACCTTTCCTCAGATCTGGTTTTTAAACTGTGGCTTCTCTGAATTCTTCCCTCCCTTCCCCCCCCACCCCAAAAAAAAATATCCAAACTCTCTCACACTTTTTGTGCTAACTGGCTCGTCTGCTGGGTTTTTTTTGGTGTTGTTTTTTTTTTTTTTCAGAACAAGACAGGCTGTCTCGCATACTTCTTGTGCTAACCCCGCCCCCCGAAACCTTATGGGACAATTTTATCTGCTATCCTAAAGAAGTGGGGTAGGGTTTTTTTTTCTGTTTGTTTGTTTCATAGATTTCCAAACGCTTTTATCGTCCTTTGGTCTCCAAGTTCACACGCTTTATATTCAAAGGTTGGAAATAAACCTTTTCAGAAAGCTGAAACGCATGCCTTTTCCATACCCTTACTACTAGGCACAATCAAACGAAAGATGTTTGCTAGAATGCATCGATGGCTTTTAGTTTAAAAATAAAGGTTAAAAACACAATCGTGGCATTACGAAATTCACCCGTGCGTGCTAAACCGGGCAACTTTTCGAGTTTCCCAGTGGGAAAACAAAAAAGCGATTGGCGTTTCGACTAGAGAAACACGGGTTTTGTTTCCTTTCCCCACTCTCGTCCCGTTTGTCTTTCCGTGGGTAATTCATACAGATGTGCAACGAACTTCCGTGCAGATGCGTGGGCCAGCCCGGGCAGGAGGTGCTCAAAAGCTCAAAGCCGCTGTCGTGATTTACTTCTCAGCCGGGAAAGTGCTGCTGCAGGGGCTGTGGGCGGGTGTACCCCGGCCGGGGAGCCGGTGCCAAGGCGGTCCCTGCCCCAGCCGAGCTCTGGAAAGCGGCTTCAGGGGCTGTGTGAAGTTTTCTCACAGTTGCCATGATCTGGGAGCGTTGTTTGACCTCTCCTCTCTCTTTGTAATCGCTCTCGAATTAGCCGCAAGTAGCAAGAGGAGTCTCACAAGATGCCCTTGCTCTGGAGGGAAAAAAAAAAAAGAAAAAAAAAGAAGAAAAAAAAGAGGCTTTTGAGGTTAGTATAACGAAGTGGACCTGAAGGGGACCTGCCGGGTGCACTTCACAGGCCAGGTTTCCCCAAACTGCGGCTCCCGGGAAGGTGCGGGAGAAGAATTAACTGTTTGGGTCACACGACCGACTCCTCTTCTCTGATCTGACATTATAATGATAGTTAAAGAAATTAGGCTCTTCTTAGTCCGAGGGTTACTCCGTGGATAAAACATTCGGAGACACATATAAGCGATGATGTCTTTACGTAGGAAGAAGATGTGCTATGGTTCCCGTGTGCCTACTTTTTCTATGTCGGAACCTCCCTTTGGTTGTTACTTCTAATATTTCCGATGTCGATAAACTCTTATGCGATTACTTCCAGGAGATTAATCAATACCGATAGAGGCAAACCCGACTTTTTCCAAATCCCTAGCAATGGAAGTTTGATCAGATCCAGCAGCTATACACTGAGGTCCCTTTCTTTAGTTCTTTAACATGGAACTAAAATTAATTTAAAGACAGTGCCCTTCCACATAACTGCAGCCTTAGATGTCACCTTGGAGAAAGATAATTATATAAAGGGTCGTTATTCGGCAATTAATCTACTTCACACAGCGTTTATCAAACCATTTTCAAAACATCAAACCATTATGCTTCTTTCTGTTTTATCAATTTGCCGTCCGATTTGTTTCTGGAATTACAGAGGCAACTGAAGAAAATTACGGACCTACAACCCGGAGCGAATTATTTTACAATAAAAGCAACAGCAAGAGATTTTCTGCATGTCGTAGTTCCAGTGCAGAGTCCGATTTTACAACTTGCGGCCGACCAACACCAAAGCTACAATCGTTAGGAGTTAATGTTGCCATCGGGGAATGCCTGAAACACCCGGGCAGCGGGAGAAATATAAATAACCATCCCCAAATCCATCAAAATATAACGGCCAGTATTGAGATCATTGCCCCAAAATATCAACCAAACTGATGCTACTGAGTGCAGCACGGCCAGTGGCAAGGTGGCTTTCTCTGAACAAAACCAAGTTCACGATGTATCAGGATTCCCAGCTGTGCAGTCAACGCTGATCACTCTGAATATTACTGACATTTCTTTTAGAGCTCAAAACAATTGCATTTGCAGTTATAAATCGTTCTTTCCTGCTTCAATAGGTGACTACTAGCTACCGTACAGCAGATTAGTACTGTCTAAGCTACTGGAATACTTTTAAAACGAAATAAACTGCAACAAAACTAAACCAAAAAAACCCAGCCCTGTAAGAGCTTTCAAACGGTTTGAGAAGAAAAAAAAAAAACAACACTGAAATCCAAACAGTGCTAGAATTTATTAGTTGCTGGAACTGAGATGTGAAAACGTGCTGTTAAGGTTTGACACGATGAAAAGAGATAAAGAGATAGTACGGCTGCATGAGAAGAGAATGAAGAGAGGATGTGTTTCTGTATTGAAGGGATTCTCTCTTAAAAACTCATATATAGTGCTCCGATTTTATTTATTTATTACTCATTAGACTAGCTGGAGGCCCTACATGTGCTGGGAGATCCATTGTGTTAGGCATGACACATACGTAAGGACAGCCTGCCCCAGAATACTCTGTAAATCGAGTGAAAAATGAAGATACAGCTAAGACCTGGCCACTGAAACTTCCAAAAGAAGGATTGTAATCAAACTCAACCTTTCTCAACAGGTCAATATATTTGAAAAGTGGTTGGGTACATACATGAATGCATTGCTCATGAAACAGTGCAAAAGAAGGACTTCCAAAAGTCTCATCTCTCCCTTCTCAATCTTTGCAAAAGCCCCCCATAGCTGATTCTAAGTGCAGCAGCTTCGGGAAACTTGACTTTCATCTCACCTGTGATTTTGTGAAATTCCCTGGGATTAGGATAATCAATCAGGCTGCTGCATGTGGCAGCTGTTCTTCTTCAGGAGCATGCTGAAAATTAGAAGATCCAATTATTTGTGTTGGAGAGTAAGTCTTCTCACTTGTCTCCTCTGTAGGAAGATTTTGCAAAACTTATCTAGGACTGGTTTCCCCCTGGAGTCTCCTGATCAGGAGGCTGAACCAGGAACTTGCTACTGGTTTGTTTTGTTTTGCTGTTCTCTAATCACTGTGTACATAGACATCATTATGGACCAGCACAAGATGTTGTGCCAGTCCTTCTTGTCAACTCCCCTGCTATTTGGACTTCTAATCAGACTGGTGCTCACCTCTGCAAGGTGAGGGAAGGTACCATACAGCCTATAGACAGAAAAGTTATTCAGCATAGTCTTGCCAGGGGTTGATATCGTGTTCAGAAAACTTTCCTGCTTCTTGTCCCCCACTCCTGGATTTGTTGTTTTTCTTTTTTTTCTCTCTCTTCATATTCTTTAGGTGCAAATTTGATCTACTGTCTGCTAACTCAGGATTACATGAACATGGCTTTTGTCCCACTTCTCTTTGTATTCTCTTACATGCTACCATGGAGTGCAAGACAATACATGCATCATGATCTTCTTGAATTTTTTTCCCTGCTTTTTTTTTTTTTTTTTTTTTTTTTTTTTTTTCCCCAATGGTTAACCTGAAATTGTACATCATCTTTCATTTTTTTTTTTTTAAAGGATTGAAATGATTACATCTTTTGTATGTTCATAAGCAGAAGTAGGGCTTCATCTGCCTAGGGGAAGGCTTGTAGCTTTACCCCAAAATGTAGTAATATTTCATATTCTGCAAGGAAGCCACCACAGATTTACGTTACTGAAAACAGGCAGAGAAAGAAGAGTCTCAGCTTCACCTCCCAGGGAAGATTCATTTGAATCATTTGAATCTAGGCAAGAGCAAACAAATTTAAGGAAGAATTAATGACAGCATCACAGAAAAAGCACAACACTGATCCAAACCCATCCTGAACCAGAAAATGTTAGTTTGGAGGAAAACACAGTAAAAATGCTTTTTGTGCATTTTCTGCATGGTGGAGGTCCAGCTGCACTTTTTTTCTTGAAAAGCCACTAGTGTCTTTCCTCTGTTTCTTCATGTGAATGTGTGCAGTGGGCTCATTTTGCAGGTTGAACTTGGGCTGGGCCTGATTCTGCTTTCCCTTGCAAAGGTATGATTAGAAGGCAAGGATGTGACCTCTAGAATATGTCTGACTTGGAGGTGAATTTGTCAGACTGACTTCTTAAGATCTTTTCCTTTTTAACGTATGTGAAGTAATATCCCCATAATTATGATGCAAAATAATAACCATATTGAAAAAGTGAGGTATGGATTTACTAGAGAGGCTTGGAAAAGGGTGAAAGTCATTGCTCCATGTATTTGCATTTCCCTTGTCACTGATGTTGACCATGCCCTTACATCATGAGATGTGATTGCTGACCAGTTCATTTGTCACTTCGAAGTGACATAATCATAAATATCGAAGTGACATATCACAAATAAATTGCAAAGACATTGAAGCCGTCTATTACTAAAAATAAAGGCGATGAAACGGTATAATATCAG